ATGACCTGAATGCTCGTATCGCTAACAACCTACAGGTATGTGGAAGACACAAGCTTATGGCTGAGTGCTACCGCCATGGGTCGCGCGGAGGATCTTAACTTACCAGAGGGAGGTTGATTTGCTAGTTACTGGGCAGAATCCATATTGTCTTAGTCCATAATACCTGTTATTGTACTACTCTACTTCGAATCATGCCTGTAAACTGGTAATGCAAGAACCATAGTCCGCAGATAGTATCGTAGATCGTCCATGTCCTGCTCTCGTACTCCTGTAATATGTTTGCCGCGTACAATAGCAAAAATCGTCGCCAAAACCCATACACCACAGTCGAAATCATTGTTCTGAAGACGTTGGACCTAAAACAACACGAAGTGGTCGGCAAAGTTGTGAAAAATGGAGGATGAAACTGACGTTCAAAGGTCGAGCAACCCAGCCTTCAAGGTCAATATTAACACGATATTCGTGTTGGCGCGCAATAGCAAGGAACCGAACAATTAATCTCATTATATCCTTTCATTAAGATCCGATCAGTCAAACGCAAACGCATGATTTAAATTGAACCCACTTCGACGTCCTTTTGCCAAGGCTGCCTGTCACCTAGGCTATCAAAAAGATGAAGTTCTTTTGTGGACAGCCGGATGACACATAGCACCCAGTGCCCAATGCCCGACGGACGATGAATAGGAAGTACCCATATATCCTTTGCGCCAAATGACATTGTCTGGCGCATTGTAATGCGAATGAATTGTCGGGGAAGAATGACACGGGGAAGATCGGGGTTGAGAGGATGGCGCATTGTGCACCCGATGTCCTGAGTTGAGAGTGCCAGAGAAGTATGGCACAACTGTTGATGCATACATCATTCAGGCGTGCTGTAGGAGAACTAAGGAAACCGATGTCCCTAGGGTCAAATATCTGATACGGGATTCCATCCGAGCTAGGTTGTACTCGGGAGACAATTTTGCCTGATATGAGAATGCCGCGCTCACGCAATGGAACATTAAAATCATCCGCAAGAAGATTCTAGTATGATACATCAGTGCCGTATTCCTGACAGTAAATGTCAACCCACCTCAGGAAGTTCCCAATGAATGACGGCAGTAGCTTCGCGCACATGATCAGTTGAGTCATCATCATCATCATCATCCCACTCTACCGTGCCTATCTGACCCTCCAGAACGTCAGCAAGCGCTGTTTGTTCAGAATCAATGGGAGGAGGATGGTCAGGATCAGCAATGGAAAATTCATCCCCACCCTCGAGATCTGGCACTGCAGGTATGCCAGCATTGATGGCAAGAAGTGTCGTGCTGCGCGAGGTTCCCGAGAGGGTGGTAGCTACCTCCAGTGCATTGTTGACTAGGCTAGCGAAGCATGCCGGAGAAGCTAAGGAATTGGACCATCGAGATTGAAGTCGGACAAAATTAGCATGCCGTTGCTGTAATGGGACAGCAAACGGTTCATCTAAGTTAGATTACACATCAGCAAAAAGTTGCTAGAAGAATAGAATCCACTCCCTTTCTGGCAACCGAAGAGCGAGTTCGAGCGCTGCCAGCTCATCACCAAAGAAACGACAAAGATTATCAGCCTCAATGCTGAGGCGGATATGTTCTTCTTCACATCGATCCCGTTTGAGGAGTGCACGTATACCGTCCCTGATGCGTGAGTCCTCCAACCATCGGGGAACTTCTCCTACCGATGGTGTAATCCATACATCTTCCATTAATTTAGGGTCGTTGCGTAGTTCCGTAAGTTTCGTTGGAAGAGGGGAAGGCAGGGGAATCCCCCAACTCGGTTCGTAAAGGGAAGCTAACCGTTCACAGTAGGAGTTGAATTTTCGAATAGCGGTCATGAGGGCAGGTTGGCGCTTTGCTATAGCTTTGCGCGTATGCTGATGGAGCTTAGTGCCTGTAGGTAATTAACAAAGTATACCACTGTAATTAACAATGGGGTTCGAACTCACCTAGAGCTTGTTGGGCGCCTCCAACGGCGCGGTCAAGTTTGTCCCACTCGAAGAAGCTTGCAACGGCACGTTTGCGAACATTAATTTTGAGGTCCCGCGCCATTAAAAGGGTACGAACAAAATCAAGATTGACCCCTTGAAGTTCAGGGAACCGATCATGAACGTTTAGAGATGAGTAAAGAGCCTCAACTTTGTCCATTAGCCGACTATGTCCCCTCTCCAGGCTCAGCAGAGCTTCGAATGTATCGTCAGAGGCCGATTTTTTCTAGCATTACTCTGGTAGTCTGTAGTGCTCTGTCCGATGCATCGAGATCTGCCTGGAGGGCCAACACGGTGTCCAGCTCTTTCTTGAGGCGAGATGGAGCGTCTTGGAGGACCGTTTATCAATACTAATGCACTATAATAAAATGAACTCACGAGCACGTATGGATAACTGTGAATGCCGTTGGTGGGACCACTGAGACCGTAACTCGTCGATAGGGATTTCGCATCGGTCTAGTACATCTTGTGCTGCAGACCCTTGTTCTTTGATGCCACGTCTAAGGCGACGTTTGATCCAATCACCGAGATCAGCGCGCATTTCGGACCCTATGGCTGCGGCTTGCCGATCAATCAGCCAGAGGCGACGTTGACGCTAAAGAAGGTTTCGCGTGAATAGGGTTATAATGAAATTGAGGCGGGACGCACGGAAGAGGTCCTCTCAATACCAATCAGGCGAACAAAGCGCGACCAAAGACGCTCGGTCCCTTCCCCGTCGGACAGGCCAAGCCCAACGCACATTCGTGGGTTATAAATGAGCTGACATGCCCACTCATGGCCGTAGCATGCATTGCAGTCGTCGCAAAACGAAGTCGTGTGGTGATACTTTCAGGAAGGATATCATACTGGAGAGGTGTGAGCGAGCAATCTAAACGTTAGTGATAGCATACTTTTGCGAGGGATCGCGCCAGAACACATCCAACGTCATATAAAGCAAACAACTGTTGCCTGGTGCGGGAGTAATGAAACAAGTGTTGGAGGAGGGCTACAGAGTATTTCTGTTGTTCTCCAGGAGAATTGATGTTAGCGAAAACAAACGGGATATCATGGCGACAAATTAATGCCATAATACCTGTGTCATCGAAGTTATCCATCGCGGTCTTCTGCTTCTTGCCGTCAGCAGCCTCATAAGAAGTTTTCACATTGGTCCACAGCCTCGTCAGGGATGAGGGAAGCATAAGTTCTTGAGGATGCTTATGTAGGGCGTCTATCCGGCGGCCGATACCATCAACGAAGGTTTTTGGGATAAAGTATGTAGGGTCATAGAAGGGTGGACAATCGCCAGCTGCGCGTCGGTGGCGGGGGTGATGGAAATTCCCATCCGTTGCAACATGAATATCGCCTCCATCGTCTGGGGATCTACCATAAAGTATGCCCCCGAAACAAGCAGGGCATCTTTGAACCAGAAGGGGCGCGCATCGACCTGGATGTAGGGTAGGAGAATGAATTTCAGGGACGTCAGATGTTGCTTGCAAGGTCATGATGCGGTCCCGGCTTTGTTGGAGAAGGGTCTCGAGTTGTTGTTCGACTTGGACTTGCAGTATGTCAAACCACTGGACAGCATAGCCAAGACCTCTGCGAAACGGGTCCTGGATAAGTCCGCCCTTCCAAAGCATGTTAGTAGTAATTTAAATACACAATTGAAACTTACTTGTGCGTCTGTCATCTGAAATCCCCGTCGAGAATAATGAGTCTTTAATGCTGATGCGAGAGCATTAATTGCATCACATGAACACTCAAACAATGTGCGATAGAATGAAAGTAGATCCACAGACACAGCCATCCGAGGCTGTGATGGAGCGGTTGGGAATAGACCATGGTGGACCAGAACCTGCGGGAGACTGGAGCACGTGCAACTTAGTACATCTATAGATTCAAATCCTACACAAATGTCAACGCACACCTCCGAGTCTTTGTTGCATAATGATAGGCTTACGATCGAAGAATAAACAAACCAATGTGGTCTGTTTGGGTGAGCACGATGTTGTCTCACATGCAGATATGACTGGGCGGATGATCTCTAGAGTTTTGCCCTGGGTTCGTCCGAAATAGCGAAGTAAATGGTTGACGAGGGTTGGCACAAGTGCCGTCCAGGAATAATACAGTGAGTTGGTTGATTTATCTGGCAAAATCCATCGTTTGACTGGCGTGTCAATTGCCGGGGTGTCGAGACTTGGAGGTTCTAACATTCCGACGTCCTCGGAATGAAGTGGGTGGGCCTCATCAACGTTTATGTGTTGGGCGGTATCATTGCAGTCCCCAGCGTGAGCAAGGTCAGGCAGAAAGTACTTGTGGGTCTGATTTTTCACCTCGCGGCTTCATAAGTTGCTGCATTTCAGCTAGAAGTCGGCGACCGCTTCGCCTCCGCACCCGGTTATCTTGATCAATGTTTGTGTTTTCCGTTTGTCTCGAGCTTTCCTCGGGCTCACAAAGTGGTGGCCTAGCCTGAAGATGTGAGCTGAGATTTGCGAGTGGGATGAGGTGTGGAGGACGACATTGTGGAGATAAGAGAAGGACATACCAGTATGAAGAAGTATCAACAAGGCTCCAACGCTAAGTTTGTGGAAAGCACGTGAGGGATGCGCTGGAGGTATGGGACATATTTCTAGAGGTCTGCAAGAGGTGTCGTGAGAGGGTTTTTAGGTATTTTAGAGGCGTGAAGGGGTTCTGGGAGGGTGGAGCTAGAGGGACGCGAGGGAAGCGAGGTGGGCTAGGAGTAAGTGTTATTAATAGATGGGGGGAGGGTGGGTCTCAGAGACCACTTTCCCATAACATAGAAACCGGGTCTCTTGGACCCTTTATAGGCACCGAGAACTGATGCCTGAGGTGCGTCTTCTTCACCTTGGACATCGACGCCAGACGCCCAGCATCAGGAAAAACTGTTTCTCTATATAGATAATCATCCTCTATATAGTTGTGATAGTGGGTCATAGCTCTACACAGTCTATGGCCAGCTATGATAGCCATAGAGACCAATATAGAAATCATGAAGGTCTATATATTACCATAAAGTTTGGTAAGCATATTTGGAGGTAAAACAATTAAGTAAGAAGGTATCGCATTTATCTAATACATTATCTGAAGTCCAATCTATAGGAATGGTTGTTGTGCCAAAGTTCGGAACAAGCTGACATGTCTGTCTAATACAAGACAGTGGAATAACTTTACCTGGCAATGAACCATCTGAAGAAAGTAAAGGTTTCTTGACAGTATACATCTCATGATAGTCTTCTGCTGCAGATTTCAATGGAGTATACCACTCAACATATGCCAAAGGGTCTTTAGTCCATGCAGGTTGAATAGACCCATATACTTGTTGTGGCAGACGAAATATAATCTTCAACCTTCCAATACGTGTTCCTATAGTTTTGAAATTTTCATACAATTTTTCAACAGATATATCATAATATTACTCACCTGTTAAACCAGTGCTTTCACAGTCAGGATCATCCATGACTACAACTGTATCAAAGCGTCCAGCTTTATGAGAAACAGGTGGCTGTGCTTTGACAAAATCTGCCTCCTCCAATTGATCAAAGTCAACGTCATTGCCTAATGACTCTAGACAGAATTTGAATCCATGATAGATATCAATATGACTAAAAGGAAGATCCATGTTCCTGAGCTGCCCGCGTGAATGAGAGTGAGCCAACTGAGAGTTGAGATAGGTGATGAGATCTTTCTTGAAGCCTTTGCAAGAATGATTCTGCATGACGTCCAAGATATTTTGGTGAAGGCGATGAGGACGTTTAGTGAGGATGACTCTATGATCTCTAAACCTTGAGTGGGAAAACTCTTCTTCTTCATCCTCCATAGACATCTTGAGATAGCTTTGAAATGACGCTACTTTCTCTCTTCTAGTTAGCCAAGAGATCATTTGAGGCCTTTCATTTCTTCCATTGGAAGCGTACCACCCCTCTTTACAAAAGTCAATATGAAACCTCTCAAACATCTCCGTGTTATAGTTGTCTGTAGTTCCGAAGTTGCGTATGTTCTCCAGGTAGTGTTGCAAGGAATGGAATTTGGGAATATTGAGATGGTCTCGGATACCCAGATTAATGATGACTTCCTTGTGAAGGTGAAAATCTTGTAAGGCCTGTTGCATATATTCCAGAGTGTCGTCATCATGAGTGGGATATTGGGCAAGATAAATGAAATCAAGGAGGGCACGGTATGCCTGAATGACGCCTCTTGGAACTTTGCCAATTAAGCAAGCCAATAGCACTCTAGCCATATTTTTCCTCTCTTTTCCACCGACTTGACCCAAAGCAGACCAGCCTTTATGGAAGTGATGGACGCCATAAGAAGGAGGGAGAGTTCTAAGTCTGTGATCCAGTTCTTCTTCATCCATAAGCTCCTGACACCACTCGACCATGTGCTTGAATATCCCTTGATACAGTTGATGAAGTACGTCAGATGTGATAGCCAAGTGAATATCGCAATGAGGGAAGTCCAGCCAAATGGTTCAAATATGCCTCCAGCTACATCCTGAGACATGCACTGTTTACGAAAGGCAGAGTCGGTCTTTGTGGAGATGTTGGCATGGTCAATTACTGATGAGGTCCAAGGTTGAGTACGTCTGGCAAAATGTTGTATTTCAGCCAATTCATCCGCTCTAGCCCTACACTTGGGACAAGTACCGTACTTGGTACAGGTACCAACGTTGCTCAGGATAATCTGCCACATAGCAAGCTAGAATGGGAAAGACCAGGCGAACAAGACCATCTCCACCCACCACCTCTATTCCTCTTCTTCCTGCCTCTTTCAGCGGTTCCAAAATGATCCTGCAGACATTTTACCTTCTGTTGTTCCTTCTAAAGAGAAAGAATCTACGCCTAGTCCTGGTATGTCTTGATTTTTCTATTAAAAATATGTCCATCATACGCTCATTATATCTTAGATTCTAGTGACCAAGATGGGGCCAATGAGGGCAGTGGTGATGAGGGTGCCAATGATGGAGATGAAGATGTATCAGCGGAGAGCACAGGTACTAGAAGGAGAACAAATGGGGTGCGTAATTTTTTTTTGTATAGCCTTCAATGCTGACTACCTATATAAAGCTTATTGAGGTCAAGGATGAGCCCCAGGAAGATAATGGGGAGAGGATTCGTAGGAAAAGAGTACGCAAAGGTGACACTAAACTACCTACTACTTTAGCTTCCTTGAAGAAGGATGGGTGCGGTCCCTTGGTTGATCTTGCACACCAGCTACTTCGTATCAAGATAGCTTTGGTGAATGCTTTTCCAGGCCCTTCAGTGGATGTGCAGGACTCCTTTGCATGGGACTGCATCAAAGAAGCGGTCAAGAATCCAGGCTCTCCCCTAAAGCCAATGTTTGACGCCATTTGCCAAGATCCTGTTTTGAAGAATAGAGCTCTAACTTATGTGAGTGTTTTAGTTTTGGTCGCACCCCATGCTTACTTGTTTCTAGGTGTGGTCTGGTGCTAGTCAGTTGAGAGGGGAGCTGGTAAGAAAGGCGAGAGAGAATGTCATTTTTCTATTGCAGCAGATGAAACCTAGGGATATTGGTGCGTAACTTACTTAAAAAAAAATATCTACTGATTTCAAGATAGGTGAAGTCGCTTCATGGCTTGTTTTCTGCCAAAAAGGATCCTTTTCTATGTGGTGAATTGGATCTCAAGGTACGTCTCTCATATCTACAATATTACGAAACTTAAGTATGTTTTAGAACAAGACCTTCAACAAGAATCTACCATTTCGTGCAGCACTCTTGCGCCAGCTACTCATTAGTCAATTTTTTCAAGGCGCGGTATCAGAAGGTTTGCTATATAAGGATGAGTTTGAAAAACTCCCTGATAACCTTCTTGCATTAATTGCTACTGCGGTAATGAAGCCTTTCTGTGGATTTAGCTATAGCTGATTTTTTTTTCAGGCTGAATGCGCATTCAAGGGTATGCTCACTGGCTCCCCAGTAGTCATAGAATTCAAAGAGCCAGTCTTTCAACCAAGGTGAGTCGCACTGTTGTGTAGTATAGTTTGATGTCAACTAATGTTAGATTTCTTTAGACACCAGTACTATATGCTGAAGCTGGCTGAATACAGACAGAAATCTCCCATGTATATGGAGAAACTACGTCATGATCTGTGGACAGAGGTTGGGTAAAAGCGCTTCTTTCTTCATTTTATATATAGATATATTGGGCTAATAATTGCTACCATAGGGAGGCATGTCGCTTTGTGGTGAGAGAGGATGAGGAATCTGGGTCAGAATTAGATTTTGATGCCATGGAGGCGTCTGCTAGAGTACAAACTAATGCTCCTAGTACTACTTCTGATGTTGCTATTGCCTAATAGCATTGAAATAGGTGCTTTTATCTATCTAATATGAATATGTGCGGTTTGAAAAGCTACAAAGCGTCTCATAGACAGTGAATTCAACTACTATACCAAGATTTGGATATAGCATAGTCAAGTATAGTTATGTATAGTTATGTATAGTTTTAAATTTGATTGACATTGGTTGTGTATGATAGTAGTATATATTTACAATACACTGTATGTCACTATAGAGCACTATACATAGGTCTAGTAAGCCTGCAAAATCAGGCACTTGTCTATATGGGCTTTGGGGCTATAGAGACTATATAGTGTGCTATAGTGCTATGGATGGCTATATAGACTTACCATATTTTCCTGATGAGGAACGTCACATTCAAAATCTCCAAAAGCGTCAGATATATTTACGACTCCGCCAACATGGGTGCCAGCCCATAAAACCTTGAGACACATATCAGCAACACAATGACCTTCGGAGCGAGCAAGGCTCTACAATTCGGCTTTGAAGTCCATGGGAGATAATTCGCTGCTGACTATGTCGGCCCTTGGGTCACTTGCACCACCAGCGCTTGTAACAGCGACGAGGCGGAATAAGTTTCCAGGCTCAGATAATGGCGCTCCGAGGGTGTGGTTTGCCAGATCTCGCTGAATGTGTAGAGGTGGTCGTAACACCATGCACTCCTCGTGAGCCACCTTGTAAGCACGCTGGCTTACTAGAGTTCTCATAATACATCAGTGAACCAATGAACATATTACAGCTGATTCCAAAACTATGCGGAATCGCCAAATCAAAACTTGTGCGTCGGAAATGCCCGGACAAGGACCCCGTAGGCACCTGAGTGGACATTTGTAGTAGCACTACTAGGTGTACATCTGCGATTCACCAAAAGATAATGTCGTTGCTATCAGATTCTTCCATACTTGAATTCAATTGGGCTACATTCATTATTCACCTTGATGCATACACTAAGATTACTACTCAAAGCAATGGCAAAGCCAAAACCAAGGAAGTGAAATCTATGAAAGTCAAGGAACTCATCTTTCAAATCCCTGAGCCCAACTTGTAACATTTTGAGTATTTAGATGATCAACATGAAAAATGTGGAGAAACTTCCAATTTCTACTACTCAAAATGAGGTATGTTGCAGCGAGAATTGGTTGTGTGATTATTGTGGCTGACGAGGACAGATTGTGGGTGATACTGCAAGCCAAGACAGCAAAGCATCAGATGATGACAAGATCACAGTTGTGGATGGTGCTTGTAGACAGAGCTTGAGCATTCGAGAGCATAGGCAGAAATGTGTTTGCGATTGAGATGTAACCACCGAAATGTGTGAAGAAGTGTTTGCATGGACACAAACACACCACGATGAGAGTGCAATTCATGCTGTAGCTTGTCAAGATAGATAGTAGGATGGTGACAAAGGGTGGCAGTGATGAAAGCAAGATCATTGATGGTGAGGGTGCGATGTCAACCCATATTCTTGCTGTGGATACTCCAAGAAAGAGCTGTAAAACTTTGTATACAAGAGTCTTTTTTACTCCAAGTAGATGGCAGATATACTTGATGGAGTGCCCATGTCGACATAGAACAGGTATTCGAGCTTTTAGATCATCTGATTTCAAACAGTGTGCAGCAGCATTGTCAGACAATGCAGACTCAATGTTATAATTAAGCGCTGCAAATCTCTCACCCATGTGCTTACGGGGTCCTTGTCCAGGCATTTCCAATGCACAAGTTTTGATTTTGCGATTCCACATAGTTTTGGAATCAGCTGTAAAATATCATATTAGACCATAGTACTGTATACATTCAACCTGAGGTTCGTCACAGCATCGCTGACACCCCGAACTGAACTTATTTCATGTGACATTCACAAGCATCTGGCGAGGATGAACCTAAAATTGTGACATCTGGTTCTCTCTGCTAAAACAAATTCTAACTCTAGTAGTGCCTCCTTATTGGTCGCTTCCCTCGATACCTTCACCCAGTGGGGGAAATCATCTCATGATACTGGTTGGCAACACCATCCATGGTTCAGACCTGGTGAAAATTGGACATGGCCATTTCCATGGAGGTTGATGGATTTGTAAGTTTTGAGTAGTCAGTAGACTCATATTGATGGAAATTGAAGTTGTGCAAACACTTGTTGAACAATCTGTCTACAATTTGAGCAGTACAGCATGTTCAATACTGCAAGAATCTGACATCCAAGACTTGTGCAGCTCAACTGTCCTTGTGTTCATTTAACTGGTCCAAGGTCTGTGCATAATACATATCTCATTGCTCAAGTATTTTGTACTTCGCCACACTTGATCCAACTTCAACATTTCAACAGTTCCACTTACCTGGAACTTGGAGTTTCAATGAACTCTCCTCTCACCATCATCAGTGCCTTACTCCTGTAAATATCCTATTCCTATTGTACACTCATTTGTGTATTCTATCTATGTTTCCGACTGTGCATGGACTGCAAATATGGTTGAAGTTCTCATGAAGTTCTCCAGTGGCACGTTACATTAGCTGGGCACCAGGTTATGATAGTTTTGGACAGAAAAGCTGGCACAAATGAGTGCAGGTGGTTTTTATTGGCATGTTTCATATTGTATGCCATGTTGAAATACATTGATTTTCATATATTTGCGTTGAAGCAAGCAAGATATCAAAGGGACACACAGTTATATTCAGATCTATGGAATTCTATCTAGTAGTCAATGCATCAAAAAGTGTACACCAGTGCCAATGTGCATCATTTTTGCAGCTATGGAAAGTGCAGATACTGACATGTTTCTACACAATACAAAGTGCATGGCTGCGCATGGAAATGGCCATGTCAGATTTTAACTGGGGTTCAAGTTCAGAAGCACATACAAACATAGATCAAAAAAATGCCGACTGGTGATCTATCTGATCAATTGAGGTAGCATAGAAGTCAATCTGACTCGGAGTCCTTCAGCATAGTCCGACCACCTCAGCAAACCTATCTATCTTAAGTTTGTCACAGGTCACAGCAGCGAACAAACATGTGAACCTACCATTATGTCATGTCACACCATGACCCCCGTGAACCTAAGGTCGAATGTATACAGTAAATAACTTACTGCTGAGGTCATGGTAGTTTGCTGGTGTACACCAGTGGTGCTCTGTACAAATGAATTCCTAGCTTACTGAAGGGGAGCCCCATCTGTCCTCTTTACTAAGAAGGAAATATGGGAAGTATAGGTGGAATTGCAGTGAAACTACACTAGATGATTAGTAACCATTGAGGTGAACTCAATGAAAGTGGGTGCAAATCAGATGACAAGAAACCACTCTCTATGTTGGGTCTAGATATGCCGTGCGATATGTTTGACCCTTAAGGGAAGCAAGGAAAGCAAGGATCCACTGAATGATGCTAATTAACCCTGGTGAATGGCAGTGAAAGCACGCTAAAGGTGTGCGCGGGAAAGCGAAGTGCAAAAGTGTGTGAAGTGCAGGAAGGTAGTGCAAGCGGTGCACAAGTGTAGAAGACATGAACTGAGACTGATGAAAGACGACTTGTGATGATAATATGATGGGAAGGCGACAGAAGACTGATACTGATATTGCCACTAGCTAGAGACTGCTGCTAGGGCCTATGATGATGACAGATACATGCATTGCATGGAATTAACTGCCAAGTAACATGGTGGTGGTTGATAGGTCAGGTGTAAAATGAACATGAAGGTATATAAGTTCTAGCTAAGCGCTTTCCCAGGGCTCGGACCTGAATAGGGAGCACTCTAAGTGTATAAGTGAGGTAAGGTAAGGGTCCATAACAAAATAGGAGTGTAATATGCCAAATATAGTCAGATAATGAAAAGGGACATACCAAGGGACTGGTTGGATGATGGATGGATGCTCCTGGATGCTGCGCTGTAGAGACTCGATCCTGAGTAGCCTCACAATGGCATATATTGCACTGTAGGTCGAGTCTACAATACTATGCATGCAACACGACACTAGCGCGATAAACGCGACGTTCACGCGACGCGCGCGACTTAGGCGACACTTCCGCGACATAGGCGACACTTGCGCGACTTGCGCGCGCTTTAGGCGAATTTTCCCACGCCTAAGCGCTATAGGGCGCCTGACTTCCCACTGTGTTTTCCCATGTCCAACCAAGTTCCCAGGTATGCATTTCTCCATTTATCATTTATTTCAACATCGTACCATGTTTATTTTCACTTGGTACACATTTTTCATTACACATTTTTTTACTTTACACAACACACATTACCACGGACCACCATCATCATAGACAGTCACCATCTCCGAGTTTTTATTATGTTTTGAATAAATCATCGCAAGCCCTAGTAGCAGTTAGCTCTAGTGGCCATATCCGCATCAGTTGTCTTATCAGCATCTCAGTACACGTCTTAACATCTCACTATTGCTCGCATACCGCTTTCACCCAGTTCCGCTTTTCGACGCGCGACTTTCCCGCGCTTCGCGCGCCTATAGCGCCTTTGTTCCTGCGCTTTCGCCTTATCACACGCTTTGTGCATTCCCCCTAGAGTTGACCAGTGGATATTTGCTTTCTCCGCTTCCCCTAAGGGACGAACATATCGCACTCATATTTTCCTCCCTTCAACAATTATATCAGCTGCACCCTCAGCTGAGTTGAAGATCCTTCAGCGCATTGTAGTGCACTTAAGCATGAGAAAGCGTGCAAGGTGTGCACACGGGAATGCTGCGCGTTGTGCAGGAAAGCATTGTGCCTATGGTGTGTTTTGCAGGAAAGCTGCGCATGATGTGCAAAGTTGGCTGAAGACACAGTGGAAGTCATATGCAAGTCATGCAGTAAAGGCCCGGGCCAGTTGTCAAAAGCTGTAATATGGGCCCATATCAGCCTGCAGAAACTTGAGTCTCTACACCATTGTCTTACTAGGATGTGAAAGGCAATAAAATCACCAAATATTCACTATCCTCCATGGTCAATGGTTCAGACAAATACCAACATTTGATAATGTGGTCGTTCATGGGGGTGCAAATG